AATGGGGTAACTTGTTTAAGTGAATTTTAAGTACTAAAATGCATCAAAATGCAGGATTTTGGGTGCCGGCCCCTCCCCCCCCTACTTGGCTTCGATTATTTTCAGGATTTTTAGGAAAGGGACACTTTCATCTCTGAGACTGAGACTGCTAGAAACATTTGTACATATGGTAATTTTATAGCTTAGCATAAAACTGATTGATTACAGATCAATAGTGTGTGCAAATTAAACTTTTTGATAAATGAGCTATAGAAATTTCCAAGAACACACACAGCATTTCTAAGTTATAAAAAAAATACTAATAATTACACAGAGACTTTTTAGAGTATTTTAGATAACAATAAAGATGTATTAGTCATAATAAAAGAAATAACATTAATTTATTTTCTGTAGCACTAGCAGCAATATTGTTTTATGTTGTAAATTTAACCCTTAGAAGTATATTAATTTTAGGTATTTTTTATTATTGATTCTGTTGAAAAATGAAGAGTGTTTTTTTTTGAGGATTGGTAGTTAACACACAACTATTTTAAATAGATATTTTTCTTGTTATATTTTCAGATCATGAAACTATATTCTTTGACAGTCATGATATATCAAAACCTGGCTCTGCATCTGTTCTCACAGAGGTAAGGAAAAGATTAGATTTGTGCTTGACAACTGAACATTGAGAAATAAATTTTCCTATCGGAAAATAGATAATTTCAGTATATAATAAAACAGTTCAGTGGTACTGTTGTTTTACCTTGAGAGAGAAACTTGTGAGATGAACCTTATTATACAGAGCAGTACACAGCAAACGTGAAAAGTCTTAAGGTTTCATTCTATTATAACCTGTTTTATGGCTTGTGTCAACATGCAGTATTGATAATGTGGTGTAGTTGTGGTATTTTCAGGTTAAACTGATTTCCTCAAAGAGTATTAGGTAGACAGGTAGGTGATATATAACAGGAGGATTGGAATGATAAATTACAAAGTAGTGAAGAATTTAGCTAAAATTAACTGTGTTTGAGCAGAGAAATAGATTGGACTAAATGTGCAACACAATGAAAACAGTGTTCATTAATTCAAAAAGAAAACTGTGTGTATACTTACTTGCTTTTGAACACTGGGTATCACCTTTCACTGGATTCATGAATGGATCTAACCAACTCACTCATGATCTGGTATATGAATGTTTAAATGTAACATTTCCTACTTAAGGGAAAACATTAGATTTACCAATAGTGACTAGTACTAATGTGACTGGTTATTCTCATTCAAACATAGTGGATGCTAATATTTGGCCCAGTTCCCCCCCAGAAAAAGTGATAAGTGTTTTTACACAAATTTCTTATTCAAAGTTACATTTTAAACAAATAATTTAATCTTACCAATAGAATTAATTGCTTTTTTATTAATGTTTTTCTAATCAAAAGCATTTAATATAGGGATAAAATAATTACATCACTGAATAAGCAAACAGTGATGTAATTATGGGTGATTTTGATTTCAGGCATATAGACTGGAAAATGCTAGAGTCAAACTGTGAAGGAGAAAGGTTTTTGAAAACTGTTCAAGATGGCTTTCTTCACCAATTAGTTAAGGAATGTACTAAAAACAATGCTATTTTAGATTTATTGTTAACTTCAAATACAGAAATGATTGAAAGGGTGGAAATTGGAGAACATCTGGGTGTAAGTGATCATTGCTCTATTAGGTTCAATGTTTTGCTGCATATGGAGATAAGGAATAATGATATTTTAGTTACAAATATAAAAAGCACATTTTGAAGGGATGCGACAATAATTATCTGTTTATTGAGTAGCCAAGTTATTTGGAGAAACTGATCTGATTTTTATACATTCAAGGTAAACATATTTCTTACAGAAAAAAAAAGGTAGCTGCAAGTAAAACACCAGGTTGGCTCATAAAGAGTTTAAGAGATAAAATTAAAGAAAAGCATCATTAATTTAAGAAATTTAAATTGCCTGGTATGATGGAAGATTTAGGAGATTATAGAAGATCAAGAAAGTTGGTGAAAATTAACAGTAAGGATTTCTTTAAATACATTAAGTGTAAACAGAATGTTAAGATGGGAATAGGACCCTTAAGGGGTGATAAAGGAAGGATCATATCTGATGATTATGAGATGGCTGGGTTATTAAATTTTGCTTTTTCTTCAGTTTTTACTAACGAAGATTCAAGCAGTATTCCACATCTTGAGCAGTTGATAGATGGAAACAAGATCGAACTAAATGACTGCATTAATTCTGAGCTAGTTAAGAACAAATTACAAAGTTTAAAGAATGATAAGGCTCCTGGGCCAGATAATATTTCCCCAAGAGTTTTGAAGGAGGTTAAAGATTAGATATGTGAGCTACATGCTATTATTTCTTGTCAGTCCTTGAATAGTGGGCAGGTATCAGAGGATAGGAAGCTAGCTAATGTAACTCCTCTTTTTCAAGGGAGGTGATAAAAATTTTGTCTTTTTTTTTTTTTCAAACTGGGGTGAGTGAACTATTGTGAAAAACTTAATAGGGGGTGAATGATATAGGAAAATATTGAGAAGCACTGATCTAGCCCACCAAATTGATCTTTTATGCATTTATTAAAATGCTGTCTGGCATATAAAAGGCTGATCAGAAGATTTCTAACATATTACTTGTGTAAACTTATCTCATTCTTACATTTTATGTTTCTTCTGTATAAATGGCTTTACAAATGAAACATATTATTGCTTAGGTTTCGTCTTTTTGCAGTTTTGTTTTATATCTGTGTATTATTAGGCTTTTTGTGTTTTATGTCTTATTTAGAAAGGTAGTTAAATTATAATAGTTGTAGGACACTGCTTTGTGCATCTTATTATTTTGTGTTCTTAAGTGCATATTTTAAGTAAATATAAATTGTTAGTTACTAGTAATATCATTACAAGAAACTAAAGTTAACTTTCATCATGGGGCAGACAGTAAAAAAACTAGGTCAAACATAAGTACTAAATTTATTTTTGATGTAGATTTTTTTATTTATTGTTATAAAAGTAATGAAAATGTAAAAATTAGAAACTTATTAGGTTAGACAATGAAAAAATAAACATCTTCCATAAGATATAATTGTGAGTATCTCATGCATTACATCATTCAATATCATAACTTGAGTTATGTATTTGCCATTTGATTTACAACTTGTATCATAGGATTATTAGTTATACATGATTCAAAGAGCAATAAAACAATAACATTAATTACATGTGAACTGATACAAGCCTTAAGCATTTTAGGATAAATAATTGTAATATTCTGTTACAATGTTCAGTCATTGTAGAAAGAAAAAAGGTAATTTAAATTTATTTCATACTTTTTGTGGTAGTTACAAGGTTGATCAACTTGACTGAGTACATACAGTATTAGGGTAGAAAAAACAACCGATAAAATATAAAGTTTTACTAAAAAAAATGTTAATATTTAGTTAGGAATTTCTAGAGGTTATGTAGATGAAATTTGAAAACTATAAGGTAAAAAAAGCATTTTTAATCTTAACATGAAAATCATCTTGCACACAGAGTAATCATAGTTTGAGTCACACTCTGACTCCTTATATTCAAATACAAATGTTTAATAAGAATACTTAATTAACAAATCTGATTTTTTTGTTTACAAAAGACTTGTAATGTTCAACGAGCCTATATAGAGAAAGTTAACCAGCATTTGAATCTTTAAAACTTGTGTGTTTGTGACTTACTACTTTCTGAGAGAAACTGGTGTTCCTTGTAGAGTTAGGTGTAAGGAGAACATATAATACTTCATTTCAAAATGAAAAATGGCATAGAAGCTAAGAAATAAAATAGATAATGTTGTATAATGTAGCACACAATGTTTATGAATAAAATATTCTTAGTTTTTCCAGAGTTATCTAGGTGATTTACAAAACCCCATTTTTCCTCATAGTTATTTATACTGTCTGATTTTTGAAATTTTGCTGTGTACAAAATTATGCAAACAATTCTGACTAAAAAATAAATGGCACAAGTATACTGACTGAAAAAATCCAAAGTATATTTTCCTTCAGTAGTTAATCTCCAAACATTTAGGAAAGTCTTGTTGTAAAGAAATTATGATGACAGAATCACAGCTAGCCGCTGGGTTTTATCTCTGATGAATAGCAGTTATCATCTAAAGGTAAAGAAAGTTATTACTGATGCTGACTTCTTCCTTCATGTGTTCCACTGTTGGATGTACTCGCCTTAGGAAATAACAAACTTGTGAATGAAACATCCAGATGTCAGTGTTCCACCTGTACTTTCTATCATGGGTCAGATGTGAAACTGCTTTGTTTGTAATTAGGCTTGAGGCACCAGAAAAGAGAAGTATAAAGAGGAGAACTTCCTTTTCTTGTTGGAAAACAATTTTCAGCTTATTTTGTACTGACTCGCTTTTTGCTTTTGTTTGTTTGTGTGTGCTTCCATTGAATTTCCTTAGTAGTATCACAATGATATGTTAATTAAGTAATGGTAATTAACAGCTAGGTTACACTTAATTATTTTTGTAGATCTTCTGTTTTGCTGGGCATATTTTCTATTTTCAAACCATACTATTTTGGATGGATGAAACAACTTATGACTGTGATAATGATTAAGTGTTGGTTTTGTTTTTAATGAAGAGTGAGAACAAGGTTTTTCTTCCAAC